CTGACATATTGAGATTTAAAGTGCTACAACGTCCACAGCTAACTCTCAGCGAAAAACAAACAAACAAACAAACCCAAGTATGTGTGTTAGTTGTTTGGTGTACTACTGTTGAGATTTTTCTATAAATGTAACATTGTTCAAAATAAAAAGTTAGCAAAAACACCTTCATGCCTATGATAACTTTTGTTAGTTTGCAATAGTATAAACAATATAGTTGAAGAATGAGGTAATTAATTGATGGTATGTCATTGTTCTATCCAGGATAGCCATGGTTGGTCCTGTTATGATGCTATCTTTAATAATATTGTCATTTCAGGGGTGTTTGTTTGTTTGTTTGTTTTACAAAACCCTTGAGCATCCAATAATAGGATTAGAGGGATCAAAGAAGTTATATTGTCTAATTCACTATTAAGTGAATCGATTGATTAGGTGGAGGACTGGCTACATATATTATTACTTAAAAACATCACCACTGAAGAAATTTCCATGACCCTTCCAGTGCTTAATCAGAGACTCATAGTTATTTGTGAATATTCTAAGTTTTTTTTTTTTAAGAAAAAGACAAACCATAAAAATCTAATTAATGTGCCCTTGTCATCCTTAAAACAGAGGATCTGGAATTAAGAGGAGAGAATTGAATGCATATTAAATAAATACAACATACTCTGTTTTTAATTCATATTCCTTATTGGCCTTTGAGGAAGATGGAAATTGAGCACTGGAATGGGCTGGTGGAAAGAGAGAAGGAAGGGAAGGGCAAAGGCAGGCACGAAGGGAACAAGACAGAAGGAGAAGAGGGTGGCAAGCGTGTTCCGAAGAAGAAAGACTTAGCAGATTTTGAGGTGAACTTTTTTAAAAAATTTTTTGTCGTGGATAAAGATCTTCTGGCTATCTGCTGTCGTTCCCTTTTGATCCCATTAATCACTGTTTACAGTTTTCCTGTTTTTGTAATCTTTACTTTTAGAGACTCTACTCCTAGTGGAACAAATGAATCACCTTTGTGTGGTAGAAATTTTCCAAACGATAAAGCCAGAGCCACTGGAGGAAAAAATCAGTTCTCTGATTAGATGAAATCAGTCTTTGCCCATATTTTCATCTACTACATTGAAGCCAGTTACAGTGAGTCCTAAGCTTTTGAAATTGAGTTTTGGCAAAGTTTGATTTTCAAAAAGGATTTTCTTTGTTGTGAGACTCTTTTATTGAGGATATTATCTTTTTTTTTTTTTTTTTTTGTTAACCTTTTATGTCTTCTCCTTTTTCTGTCCTCTGTCATCTCAGATTACTCTGGAGCAAAGATCAGAATCCAGCTGTGGGGGTGGTTCTCCATTCGGGCAAAATACCGTGCATTTCAACTGTAGGCTGGTCCGTAATTACTTGGGCAAAATGATAATGGATTCTAATAATTGAACTTTTAGAGGACTTTCCCTGGTAAGACACATTTCATTCCTTCCTAGTATTTGTTAATCTTTTCACCAGAATTAACAACAACAAATGGATGATAGATGATCTGATGAGCCTGATGTTCATTAGAAAAGGCAAAATGAACAATTTCAGGAAAACAAAAATCAGTTTTTTTAATAATAATAATAAACAGTTTTAGGAAAAAGTAAAATCTCTCCTCAAATGCTTATTAAAAGCTAATTTCTGCCCTACTTTTCCACCTCCTACTTTCCCTTTTTTGCATGTGTTTATTTTTACAGGCCTGGGAGTTTCTACTGGGCATTCATTCCTCTTATCTCAGTTCTTCCTGCTTGCATCTTTTTTTTTTTATTTATTTTTTTTAATTTTCATGTGTTTGTTTTCCTGACACGTATTCATCACAGTCCACGCTGGAGAGCAGACTGGGCCTATCTCATTGTGGCTGACATCATCCTCCCCCCTGAGTCAGCCCAGCTAGCCTCTCATTCTGGTGTCTGGGGCTGTGTTCTCCAGTCCCCGCCCCCCCGCCCTCCCCCCGCTCACCCCGCCCCCCTGCCCCCACCACTGATAGGGATGTATGTGAAGTTCCCAGGGTGTCTGTTAATGTCCCCTTGCCAGCTCCTGGATAATAGCCAGTGTTAGCTCACAGAAGCTTAATGATGAATCCATATCTGTCATGAGCTGGAATTGATGCAGGGCACATAGTAGGGAAGGGCTTAATAAATGTTTGATAGACCAATAAAGAAACGAATGTGCAAAGGAATATAGCTCATAACCGAAGTCCTCAAGGAATGAAGCTGTTTAGGCAAGCCCTTCTGTCCATAAGTATAGCCAATTAAGTGTGTGGCTAGAAGCATGCATGTGTCCCAGCCTCCATTAGTGATCACAGACTGCAGCCTGCACTTTCCCTGGTGAATTCAGACGCAAGCGGACCTGACAGGAACCGCTTGCACAGTGAGTAATCACCAGACTTCCCAGAGAAAAAAAGGATGGCAGGGAGTGGATTCCACATTTAGCTTCACTGTTAGTGTGAGATGACTTTCTATATCCTCACGATTGGAAGGATCAGAACTCATTGGAATTCTTGAGATAGAACCTTGCAAAATCCGACTTTCTCACGTTGATTAAGAGCAGAATCAACTTTGACACGTTTTGGGAGGGAATTGGCAAGGCCCGCTTTGCCAAAAGTCCTGGGATTTCACATTTTGCACATGTGCTCTCATTTCACTGTGTTTTAACCCAGGTTGCTGTTATAAAGAGCATTTTAGCAGCCTTGATCTTGGAGACATCAAGACCATTATTCCTGTTGTTGCTCTGATTTAGTGTTACAGCTGCTTCCTCTTTATGTGATTTAATTTGAAGTTTCAGCCCACCAGGGGGCTATTGGTCCCCACCTATGCGGCTTTAAGAGCTGGCTGCTGTTTTCTGCATGGATGTTATTTCCATTCCTATTCATAGTGATTTTTCCCCCTTCTATATTCATCTAGCAACAGCAAGGCACTGTTCCAGGAACTCGCTCTCTCTACATAAGGCGTAACATGGAACCATTTGGATGGAAAAATTATAAATTAAAATTATTCTGTTCATTTTAAAATATTCATATTGTGTTGCTCAAGTGCCAGTAACTGGAAAATCAGGGATAATGTCCTGTTTTTATAACCTCTTTCAGAGTGTTTTAAAATCCGTATATGCTGTTACTTAGCCATCTCTTTTCCTGGAGTGGATTTTGTGATAAGATTAAAAACAAACCGGCTGGGGGGTGGGGGGCGGCTTGTAGGAGTCCACTGTCTGATGGGATATGTAATATTCAAATAAAGATAATACCACTGATTGCAACCCTTCTTCTTAAAATAGAAAAATATTTACTCCGTGTGCTGGGAATATTTATAAAACTGTCTGACTACAAAGGTAACCTATGAGCATGGCAGACTATTCCTTTTGAAGAGAAAAGTTTTTATTAAATGATTAAAACTAAGCAAATGTTTATTGATTTCTGGAACTACATATTTAATTGAAATAGAGAAAACCTGTGTATTCACAGGACTACTGATTTGCAGATTCTGAAAACATCTCCAACTTTTTAAATAGGGCTGTTTTTTTGTTTGTTTTTGTTTTGATGCCTCCAGTTCTCTATGCTAAGTTATTGATTCTTTAATTGCAGGAAACTAAAATTTTGCTTCTATCCTTGTATTTTCTGTGTTGTATGGGTGTGTTTGAGGATGTGCATGTCTCAGAAAGATAGACCCTAGGGAAAAGTGAAACATGTTGTTATGTGGTTTGGCTGGTTTTGGGTAAAGTAAATATATCTCTTATTCTAGAGGAAAGAGTACTTATTGGCGATCTCAGCTTCATGTGTATTTTTCCACCTCTGTGGAAGGCATTAAAGAGAGTAAAAGTCTTTACTTTCCGCTTCTCTTTTCTGTAGGTTTTTAGGTTCACATTCACACAAAAGCCATGTGTTTTGTTTGTTGTCTCCCTTGGCTGGGAATATTTAAATGTATTTTTTTTTTTTTTTAATTCTTCTCTTCCATCAACTGAAGACAATTTAAAATTATAATTTGAAGACTCTTTCTAGAAATGTATACTTTTGGGTCAGGCTGTCGTCTTTGTGGGCCTGGTGTGTGTGCCGAGGTTCTTCTGAAGCAACAAATCACTTTAGCATGAACAAATTTCACAGGGCTGTTTGATTGTTGGTCTTAGCTTTGTGTGAATCATTTGGCCTTTTAAAATAGGCTAATCCTTTAATCGAATATGCTTTCAGAAAGGTTCTAAAAACCTGGGTGGCTCTTGCTAACTCTCTTTTACTCGTTTTAAATAATACTAGGTTATCCAGACGTGTTTCTTTTTGATTTTTGAAAGGATGTTATTGCAGGCCATAATATTTGAAGTCAGGATTCTCCGTAATAACAGTAACAACAAAACACACACGCATTCTCCTAAAGTCCGATTGATGGAAAACAGGACGCAGGCTGCCAGGAAACAGGTTTTTCAGCACAAATGCTTAGTTGATACAGCAACCGACTTCTTTGAACACCGCAATATAGAGCACTGTATTCTTAACTGAATAAAGAAAACAAATGAGGATAGTGGCTGCAGGAGAAATGGGTACCTCATCATTAATAATTTGTGAGTTAAACCTTAACTACACTTGACATTTTTCTTTGGGTCGGCGACAGACTGATGCGTGAGTCAACTCCTGGTAGCACCTCTCCCGTGCCGCGACTGTTCAGTTCCAAGGCTCGCGGTGCTCCAGAAAGTAGGTCTTCATCGTGATGGGGTTGTCGCTTGCGTCCTGATCAAAGTGCTCCGGAGGACGCGCGGCTGAATTCATTGGCTGTGAATGTTAATCACTCCATAGGACGCACCGATAATTTACAGCATTGTGGTAACTCTCTGGTGTTCGTAAAATGAACTTAATAACCCAGTGCCACCACGGGATAAGCTGCTTTTTCTCTGCAGTTGAATACCCCGCCTGCCCGCATAATGGTGTTGAGTAATACTGCATTAAAAAGAGCGAGCAGCTGTACGATGAAGGAAACAGTTCTGCAGCGGATTTGTTCATTATCTCCTTTGATTCACAGAGGGCGTTTGTGAGATATGGTTGACCAGTGAAGACACGGGGGCTTACGGCAGAGACATTGGCACCGATCTCCCCGCACTGCTGTGGAAACTGGTTGAAGTGATCCCTGAGGGGGCGATGCTGAGGCTTGGCATGACAAATCCACCCTATATTTTAGAGCATCTGGAGGTAAGGCAAAGCGCCCCATTTCCCTGCTGACACAGACACGCTCCAGCCCAAGACAGTGTGGCAGCCTCAGCAGCATCGTACGGTTACATGTAAAACCTCTTGCACATGATCATTATTATTTTATTTCATTTTTCTGTGGTCCCGCGTTACTGGAACGAGTGGAGAATTTCAGACCCTCCTCTGTGTCAGTCTGCACATCTTGTTTTTGCTTGCTCTCCGTTGATTAACGTTGCTTGGGTTTTCCAGCGCTCGCCCTCTCGTCACAGTTCTTTGTTTCTTCTTCGCAGCCCCTCAGACTCCCGTGGCATAAGTGTGCCTCGGTTCCTCCGCTCGGTGCCCTGGTCTAGTCCAGTTCAGGCGCGCTACGGCATTGCATTCATTTTGCATCCGGCTGTGAGCACGGTATCGGAGCCGCTGCTCGCGCTGGCGGTAAGGGTGTGGGGCTGTAAGTGTGAGGGTGTTTTAAATCTCCTCCCTTTGTCTGGGGATGGTTAGGGATGAAGTGGGATCCTAGAGAGACACAGCTCGGTGTTCCTCTCCTTGATTCTCTCGTGGTCACCGTGAACACGAAGGGGTTGTGGCGACGGGAGATGCCTCGTCTCATTTGTATCCCTTCCCCGGGTCAGGCACTTACCCTCAAGTAGCTTACCGTGAAGCTAGAAAAATGGACACGTGTACAAGTACCTGGCATCGGATGACAAATGCCACAGTAAATATGAGCAAGAAACAGGGACATTTAAGTGAAAAAGCGCATGCCAGGATCCATGACAGCTATTTGAGCAACAAAATAATTACGTTGGACCCACAGTTCTAGATAAGAAATCTGATAACTGCTGTTGGAAAATCACGTGCAAAGTATAGAAACAAGGCGCTTATATTTTTATCCGCTGTGTTCTTTACAGTTGTTTCGTGCAGGAAAAAAACATTCCCGAATCTAAAAGCAAGCATAGGTGCTAAAATTTAATGCCCAGATTCCAATGAACAGTCAACAGTGGCAAGATTGTTTCTGTTGACTTGATTGGAAGCCTGTACTTGTCGAAGTTGTGCTGAAAAGCCTCCCTTACATCTGCAACGTCTTTTAGAAATTCTGAAAACAGATTTAGTAGCAATCTGGTTGTTAATTACAAATATACAGCGAAGAAATCCAGCAGTTTCAGTTTTGGTATTCACATATCCCCCAGCCCGATCTATTTGGTAAAGGGATATGATCGGTTAACTTTAGTACTTTGGACAGTGGGGGACTGTTAAGATTTGCTATTGGAAAAACAAGTTGCAGATGTGTCAGTTTATACATAAGCCTGTGACCCAACACTTGAAAAAAGCAAGTGACTTCCCTGTAAAAATCAAATATGGTTAAGTCCTGCTCCGTTTGAAGTAAATGCGAGGCACCTACCAGGCGATATGCTAGATGTGTGGTTTGAAACAGATCTCAGCGAGGACCGAGGGAACCGTAGTACTAGAATCAGCAAAGTTCAAGTAGGGAATAGACATAAAGGGGAAAATCATGCATAGGCTCTGAGATGACTGAATAAAGTACATCTTGAAATGAATTCAGCACTTCTATTAATTGCAAGGTTACAGAAGCGAATGCTGCATTTGTAGCAGATCCTCTGCCCCGAATCTGAAGTAGTGCCAGAGCTGTTGACCTCCACGCGCATGCTCCAGGAGAGCTTCTGAAATCAGCGGAAGTTGCTAAACATAGCTTTACACTTCACCTGGAAAAACACCAGATGTTTAGTTCATACGTCGTGGTTGGGGTGACAGCAAGTTCTGATTGTCATGATGTTACCCTTTGAAACCCCTCGCTGTCAGGTGTCTGTCATGTTGGCCTTCCCTCCTCCACTGTCATCTTTACAAGGCAGGGACCTCATCATTTCCATCTCCGGGTGTACCTGACCGAGTGGTGGTTCAGTAAATGAGTGAATCCAGAATGAATCAAGGAAGGGCCTTCTTCAAAAACTAAGTTACAGAGCCCACTCTATAGCCTCAAACTTTCGAGTCTTAACATTTGGGGCAGAAGAGGCTGCAGAAGATGACAAAGTAAGTGAGCTTCAAGGATGAGAGTTTGTCCTGAAGAAAAACCACTCACTCCTCTGCCCTTGGTACGCTGGGAGTCACCCAGCCCTGTCGCACCACACCAAGGGAGAAAGCAATCCAAGGGAGAGGAGAGGAAATGAAGCAAACGAGCCGAAGCGTGCAAGAGGAAAAAGACCCATGCCTACCTGAAAGTACAAGCTTGAGAAAGCTTCCTTTGACATCTGGACACTGTGGCCTTGGCATTTCTTCTCACTCTCCCCTGAGCGGGAGAGCCCAGAGCACACCATGTTCCCCAGACACACCATTCATTGTGTAACAGGAAAGGGAACTGAGCTGCAGAGCCTTCCCCGGCTCCCCCATGTGAAACAGGACGTCAGGGAAGGGAGCCCAGCGGCGCTGAGCCTCGGCCCGTGCCCACCAATACATTGTGCTTCCTCGTTTTCCTCTCACTGAGCCGAGGGCACGCTACTGAAATCACCTGACTTATCTAAAGAGTGCTGGAGAGAGTTCGCCAATAAGAAAAAAAAAGAAAACAGGAGAAAAAAAAATCAAAACAAAAATAACACCAGTGAATGACAGATGGTGATGTCTTTTAAACTGTGGGGATAGAAAGAACCCACTCTTGAAACAACTCCTCATGCTTTAAAACCCTCACAGTGAGGGTTCCTTGAGAATTGTATTGGTGGGAACATGCCTTCTCAGGTTTCCGAAGATGCTTCAGGCTGCAGACTTTAATTATAGAGGACTTCACCAGGCTCTTTTCCTTCTCCATTGTTCTATTTACTTCACATTCACTGGACTTTGCGATCTTCCTTAAAATGTCTTATCAGTTTGCTTGCTTATTTTTGTATATATGTATTTAATTGAACAGCTTAAAGGGGAAATCTTTCTTCTTCTTTTTCTTTTTTTCTGAGAGAGAGAGGAAGAGAGCAGCGGGGAGCACAGAGGGTGAGAAGGAATCTTAAGCAGGCTCCATGCCTAGCATGGAGCCCGACATGGGGCCCCATCCACAACCCCGCGATCATGACCTGAGCTGAAGTCAAGAGTCGGACACTTAACCCATCGAGCCACCCACATACCCCACAAAGGCAAAATCATTTAAAGGAAAATATCAAAGTTTCTGTGATTATTTAAAAGTACAATGTGGAAAAATAGATCTATGGATGATAGGAACAGAATAGTTGATAAAAAAAATAGATCTGTTGATAATAGGAACAGAAGATGCATATTATAGTTAACATAGGATGTACTTTTAAGGTTTTATCATGAGTCTAGGGATGCCTGGCTGGCTCAGTCAGTAGAGCATGTGACTCTTGAAGTCAGGGTCACAAGTTCAAGTCCCATGTTGAGCATGGAACCTACTTAAAAAAAAAAGTCTAGCATTACGTGTGACACTTTATAGTAGACATTAAATAAATGTGTAGCGAATGAAAGGGAGGGAGGAAAATTCTTAATCCTTAACAGGCAAGTAGTTAAGTGTTGTTTGGAACATCTACAAACCCTAATTTTAACATATTCCTGCCTTAATAAAATAATTTGAGATGCATTTTAAATGATGAGATAGCTGACAAAGAGATGATCTCAAACACCGTACTTACATATACGTATCTTTGAAAAGCATCCTCGAATTGTAGAAACCGAAGTATAACCTTATGCAGTACTTACTAAGTATGGACACGAGGTCAAAACAATAGATAAAACAATGGATTGAAACCTATTAGCTCATCTTAAAGACCTTACAGACCTGTCCGTTACCCACAGGAAGAGGATACGCTCTTTAGCTTGGCATACGGGGGCCTCAGGATGCCTTCTACCAAAGCATCCCTGTGTTCCCACGTCCATGGTACCCTGTGATGTCTCCTGTATGCCGTGGCTTTTTCATCCTCCTGAAGTTTCTACTTTAACTTCTGCTCTTTCCGTTCCCACCACGCGTTGACTGTTGGTAATAATGATGGAATCAGACGTACTGCCGTTTGCTGCTCCATGCGTTGACGCATAGGTGGCCCCCCACCATGGCGGATGAGAGAGGTTTTTGTGCTGTGTTTGCTCTCCTGTTTACATTATGGAGGTAATAACCTGGGCATATTCCTCTTGAGTGAACTCTGACCTTACAGAGGGCGGGGTGACTGGTGAACTTGCGCATTCTTGAACCATGTTGCTTCGTGTTGCCCTCCTGGTTGTAGGTAGCCCACAGCTAAGGATTAATTCAGGCAACATGGTACCCGTGAACCCCACAAGGTGTCTAGAGGCCAGTGGCAGGGGCACAGTGGCTACCTGTCCTCAGGCACCAGAAATCGCTGGTACTTTTTTTTCAAGACTGCCTAATAATAACATCAGTACAGTTTGTCGACTGCTCGTTATTTTCAGGAAACCATGCTGATTGCTTTCCACACATTCTTTTCTTTCTTAAAATAAGCTACCTATAGAGATGTTATTCTCCTGATTTCATTGATGTAGAAACCGCATCTTAGAACGCTTTAATTATTGGTCAGATTACGTAACTGGCTAGCACCTGGACTGTTTCTTTTCTTTTTTTTAAGATTTTATTTATTCATTTGACAGAGATCACAAGTAGGCAGAGACAGGCAGAGGGTAGGGGGGAAGCAGGCTCCCTGCTGAGCAGAGAGCCTGATGTGGGGCTGGATCCCAGGACCCCAAGATCATGACCTGAGCCGAAGGTAGAGGCTTAACCCGCTGCGCCACCCAGGCGCCCTGGACTGTTTCTTATCCTGTCTGATTGTATGGCGCTTTCTGCTGCCTCCATCTTTCACAGAGCCCTCTCTGCCGCCGCCCAGATTCCCGCCATGCTCTATTGGCCTCCGTCTGGCATCCCTGTGTGGGCACTCATCACCCGGCTCTAGCATCCCTCACTCACGTGTAAACCCAACAGAACTGTCACCACCTTTAGGGAGAGGCCATCTTGGTCACCTCTTTGCGCTTTGGTGCCTGTGACGACAGGCCTG